TCCAGCTGTCCGTGAATCCTCCAGCAAATGAGTTTGCTGGCAGGATGCTTCAAGGGAAAGACAAATTTTGAAAAACTGCATTCACATAAAAGACATGCCTTATTTTTAATTGGAAATCTGATTCTCTGGATTAGTGCCCACCCAACCAGAGAGAAGAAACATATGCTGGTGCATCAACAAAACAAAGAGGGCACTGAATATTCAAGGCAAACCTTACACACACTGTGAAAAATGCTTCATAGAAATTATCCAGCAAATCAGTTTCAATGACAAATCTCTTACATTCACTGCCCATTCACAGCCATCACAAAGAGAAAGAAGGATTGCCTTTCTCTATTGCTCTACACGTTTCTGACCCTATTTTAGCATCTTTCCTCTGAGTAAGACCTATATAATGAGTAGACCATATATTGCAATTCCTGCCTTTGTTATTGCTTAATCTTCCTACCTGCAACCCTGTCTATTTCTGTGTTTCGTGACTAGTCCATTGCTGTCACTTCTCCAGACAGTGTCTGCTCCAAAGGACACCTGTCTGTGGTTGGCATCTGGAGGCACTGCCTCATGCAGCTAACGGGAAGCTGTCCTGACACCTTCTGGAGGTGAAGGTACCAGTGCACCTCTGTTATGCACAACAATATTTGGGAAAAGCACAATGGTGGTGGTGTAGCTGGGAACAAGAGGTGTTTTGGCGGTGCTGTGGGTTTGGTTGAACCTTTCAAATACTGTCACAGAGTGCCATCACCTGAGTCGCAGAATGCTGGATTTTCTCATACATGTGGTGTGAAAACTTAGCTTAGGTTCCAACAGTGACTTTAAGTCTGACCTGCAGTGTCCCTGTAATCTCTTCACTCTATATACCAAAAAACGTATCTCCTACAGTTGGAGGGAGGATAAACATGTCCTACAGGTCTGAATTCAAGCTGTTCTTGGTGCATGTAAGCAGCAATCTCCTCTTGCTGTTTCTGCTGCATGTGCCGTTCCTACTGGTTGCTCCCAATAGTTATTTTAATGGTAGTGCTGCAGCTATGTTATTTGCATAAACTTTTCTAAGAGCAGCACCATAAAAGGTGAGATTAGCTAGAACAAATGGTCTAGAAAAGTACCATTTTGGGCATCTGCTGGGGAGTTTCTTTGGATATCTGGGGGTGAAGGGACCAGGGAAAAGGCAGGAGAGTGAGCTTGAGATCAGCTTCAGAGGAGCTGTGATACACTGCAAGGGCTGTGTTGCAGGCCTGAGCGTGATGTGATGGCTCATTTGGGCTCCTTTGGAGCTGGAGGCGCCTGAGAGAGGGGAGAGAGCTGGACTAGTGGCTTCAAGTATCTTCTGCTCCTGAAATTTCTCTGTGCAGTTTTGCATTGAAACAACAATGCTGGGTGGAGAGGCATGAACCGATTGGACTGGGTGAGTGAAGGCTTGCGGGATTTCTGGGCAGGAGGGCTTGGAGCAGGAGATACTTGCACCATATCCAGGAGGAAGGCATTGGTTTTGGTCACCAGGAACAAAATATTTTCTACTGGAGGAAGGCGGGTGGCAACAAGGACTTGATAGGGAACGACAACTTGTCCCAATCCCTGTGAAAATCGCCCTCACCCTGCCATCCTCCAACAGGATGTTCCTCCTACGAGTGTGAAGTCAGTGCCTAGAAACAAGCTGCAGGATCTTGCCACTGAGTAGTGGAGTGGTGGTGATGGGGAAGGGACTTGGAGGTTGCTAAGAGTCTCGTTGTTTATTTGCTGAAGGTCTAACAGCTACCTCGGTCAGAGACACACTCTCCTTGTTAACAAAAAGGCAATGAATTATTTAGCAGATGAAAATGCCAGATGGCAATGGCTCTGCTGCTTACAGGAGAGGAGAGAGGGAGGGAGGCAGCACACTGTGGGCAACAGATTGAGAGCATTTCCATAGCAAAGAGCAGACTCTGGCCAGAGATCCTGGTGGCCCAGGTGGTTGCCTAACAGCAAGCAGGAGACAGGCAAGCCAAGGCAAACAGCTGCCGCTTGCCACAGTAACCCACTCATTTCCCACAGGTCTCCCCTTGTTGGAGGTCCCTTGTCAGGGGTTATCCTGATGGTGCTATCTATGCTAGCCCTGAAACTACAAGACTCCCAACCTTGGCTCCGAGGCAGGCCACAACTGATGGCACTACAGGAAGGCTTTTCCAGCCTGTCCATCACTTCACATCTGGGTGCAGGGATGGTACTTCAGCCCCAAGTCTACTGGGATGCCCTTTGGTGTAGTATCAGCATATCTGAGGTGACTTGGCAGTTCTTTTGGGAGCCATACTAATGGTCAGCTGTCCCAGCCTGGGCTATGATGTCTCCAGACACCATGGACTCTCCAGATCGATGTGTATATAGCTAGGGACCTCCAAGTCCAATGCTGTAGGCAGCATGGGCAGATCTGTAGCAGACACTAAAGCCCATGCCTCAGGTGACACTACACCATATGCACAGTAAGAGGGACTGCTACGGGTCTGTGTATCCTAGGGAACTTGATGCCTGTAGTTCAGCATCTTCTGACATCTCTTCAAGGCATCTATGCAGATAGCCAGATGCCAACCTAATCCTGGAGTGGGGTGAGCCTCAGGCTCTTCTGGACTCATAGCTTTGGTCCAATCATTCCAGCCACTCTCAGGCTTTCAGTGGAGATTTGTCTTTGGGATGGAATTTATGCTTCAGAAATGAAGAAAATAGCAAGTGCATGTTTTGTGTTCAATTTGGAAACTGCAGGCACCAAGAGCAGTTCTTAAATTCTTTAAGCCTCTTGAGAGCTTGGGTTGAAAATCTGCTGGGAATTGCCAGTGTTCAGACTGTCAGAGCCGTTTTTGTTTTTTTTTATTTTGGTCAACTCTTGTATTTGAAAACTTCCCTCCTCCTCAGCCTTTTCTTTCCTTGGATGAGGAGGTCAAAGAGAGTCAGTCTCTTGGGCACATAGACTGTGTCAGCTTCTGCCCCAGAGCTCTCGTCATACCCACTCTGCTCAGGCATGTCATGGGGATGTCTGGGCTCCTCAGGAGCTTTAGGACAGGACTAATCTCCTCAAGCAGTAAACTGCATGGTATAAGAGAGAGAGGCTGAGGCTACAGCAGTGCATGTAAAATCACGTGCTACTGTAGTCTCCCATCTGTCACATTGACACAGCAGAAGTAAATGTTGCCCAACAAAAGGAAATCTGTGTAGAGCTCAGGAAGATCCCCTTTCCAAGCTAAGACATTTTGTGTGTGCTGTCTCTGTGCTCCCCCAGGACCTCTCAATCAGGTTTCCTTTGGTGTTGAAGAAGAGTTGTTCCTGTTTGATCTTGATGGAAAAAGCTGCCATAAACACTTTGCATCTCCAGGCCCCTGGAGGCACTATCTTTGTTTGCATCCTCCTCCATTGCTTAATCAAACCCTGGGTCCTCCTTCTTTTCCTCCATCCTGTCCGTGTGGGCTTTGAGCATCCCCCAGCAGGGATCATCTGTTGCTGGATGACTGCAGGGGCTGCAGCAGTGTCCCAGTTGTGGCTGGAATATAGATAAAAAGGAAGGAGAGAAACAAATGCTCAGTGGCTTGAATGCAAAGCTCACAGGAGTACATGTTAATAAATCATGCTGGGTTTTCACGTGACCTTTGCACTGGCCACAATATACTGTGCTCAGCATGTCTGCAGGACAAAGCATTTATATAGCTCCTTATAAACTTCAGACAGGCCAGAAGGTGTTCTTGTGAAGAGCACAAGTTCCTGAGAATAGGGATGTAACATAATTGCAGTTGGAAGGGCCTCCTTGGAAGTCATCCAATAAAAGCCCTTGCTCAGGACCAGGCTAACTTCAGAATTATATTTGGCTGCTCAAGGCCTCCAAAGACTGTGGTTGGTCTCACCACAGTCATAGCTGTTCTCTGAAGGCCACACAGCTCTGCAGGCACCAGAAGCAGCTGGCTAAAGATGCCGATGGGGATTCCGAGGCACAGAGGCATGACAGACACATGAGGACTAGAGACTCTGTCCCCGTTGTCCCCATGCCATGTTTGTTAGTGTTTGCTGTGCTGGTTCTCTCTCCTCTCGTCCCTCTGGTAGGTGTAGCAGCCTTTCAGGACTGTCCTGGCACACAGGTCTGTGGCATCCCCATGAGTAACAGCCATGCTGGTTGCTGTAGGGTGCTTGTTCCCAGGGGTCCCAGGCACTGCAGGTTTGGAGGGGATCCTCTCCTACCTAAAGCATGGTGGTAGGGAAGGTTTTAGAAACAAGCCCCAGTCTTGGCCATTAATGGCCTTTGTCTCTTGCCAGTGAGGACTGTAGTCTCACTGGCAATGGTATTAGCTGGCTGTGGTATCAGCTCCTGGGGAAGGTGGGAGGAAGCCTGACATTCAGAATTTTGAGAAGTTGATTCTTCTGCAGATAGCAAGATATCTTGGAAGGAGAAATTCTGCTCAGGTAGAAAGATGAAAGATGATGTCCCATGATGAAAGGGATGTCCCATGACTTCTGAGTCACACAGATCATGATGCTGGAGGAAGAGGAGGGTTTAGGGATATTCCACAGGCAGTAGATATCTGGCTGTGGAGAAAGAAGCAAGTGCAACCCCAGCAGCCCAGTTGTTAACATCATCATTGCTCTTTTTCCTCAGAAATTCAAGCAAATGCTCTGACTCCTTGCTCCTGCTTGCTGACCATGGCCATGACTCACCCAGCTTCCAGGGCTGAGAGGCAGAGGTGGTGAGAGACCTGCCTCAGGTATGACAAAGGCAACCAGATAGCATGGGTTTAATGGGCTGGGGTAAGAGCATGAGGTAGCTGTGAGATTTCTTCAGCAACACCTCCTGCCCTGTGTCCCACAGCTTGTCCCTTGGAGAGACTGGGACTCCAAGGTCACCAACCAGTCCTCTCCCCTCCCTACCCTTAGTGAGCTTCTCAGACCTTGCTGGAGGAGACCTGAAAGAGCCATGGCCCATTTTCAAGCAAAGGCTTCTCCATCCACACCTCTGCCTCTGTGTTGCAGGGTGACACTCCACAGCGGCGCCGATGGAGAGCATGTACTCAGTGGAGCCAGCACCTGATGGTGCCAGCCCCACCTCACTGGATGAACTCATCTTCCTGGATGCCCTGGCAAACAGCACGCAGGAGCAATGCTTCAGCGCCCGCTCCCGCAGCACTGTCCTGGAAGGGCTGCCGTTCGGAGGTGTGCCCACCGTGCTCGCCATCAACTTCATCCTCTGGCTGGTGAGCAGGCTGGCAGGGTGCCCTTTCCATAGGCACTGCAGCCCCCGAGTGTGCTGACAGCCACACACAAGTGCAGCCTGTGCACCAGTGCACCTGGCTGATTGGGGGAACAGGGGTGAGGACAGAGGACTGAGGGCTTTGCCCACATCATGGTGGGCAACAAGTGGCACTTGGGCAGCAGTAGCGAGATTATGGAGCAGGAACAGTTTGGCTTGAGGCAAGAGTTTTGCATGAGCTTGAGTGAGTAAACAGAAAGAAGGGATGTGAGAAGACCCCATAGGGTGAGACCCTGCAGCAAAACCCTTCACTTACCTTTCTTCTTCTTCCAGCTTCTCCTTCTGGTCTTCTCTTGTCTTCGGAAAGCAGCTTGGGACTATGGACGCCTGGCACTGCTGATGGACAATGATAGGTGAGGAGGATGCAAAGCCACTGTGGGTGATGACTCCATTCTTTTCAAGAGAGCTGGAAGGAGCACCTGCAGGGTGGCACACAAAGTTCAGCAAGCATTCCTGTCCCTCTCTCCCACTGGGAATAGCCTGGTTGCCCTTGCCCATGGAGACACGGGCACCATCTGCTGCAGGGAGAGGGAAAGCCTGGGCTGGCTTTCATTCCCACTTTCAGGCACCATTTGGTGCCATTGAGGGCACTGTCCTGGGAAGGACAGAGGCCCAAGAGCTGCTTTTGAGTAGGGACAGAGTGACTGCCTCCTTTCCTGCCACTCTCTTGGGGTGAACAGGACTGGCTGACAAAGAGGGCAGAGGGAGACACACAGCAACAACACCATTCCTCATGTCACCAAAGCAACTTGCTTGGCGCACCATTTGAGCTAGGTGCAGAGTCCCATAAAAACTAGCAGTGTTCTGGTGAAAGCAGAGCCCAGACCAGATTGCCAGGTGGGCTGTGCTGCCTGCAACTGCCTGCTTGCCAGAGCACGGCTCACCCTGGGCAGCAAAGCATATTTCTTTGCACAGGCAGGTGCACACAGGAGGGGTCTCTGCAAGGCTGGGCAGCCCTCAAGAGCAAACTCTGTTAAAGGCCCTCCTGCCTTCTCCCCTCTCTAGCTCCTCTTGGCCTCAGGCTCTGGAGCTGAGTCTGGCAATGGACAGGTGAAGTTTCCCTTCACCACAGAGATCAAAGGGCAGTCAAGACTTAAAATGCAACCTCTGTTTACATTCCTTTGTACTGTAAAACCATTTGAAAGGTATGAAGACAGTGGAGCAGAAAACATCTGATTTGGCAGTCCCTTGTCATGTAGCTAGGGCCAATTCTCCATGAGCCACTCCATCACAGGTCAGGGCCACAGAGAAGCTGTGGAGACTTGTCAGCACAGAGACAGCAAGACGCAACACCTCTCTCCCAAGCCCAGTGGTAGTCACTGGTCCAGCCCCAGTGCAGGATGGGGGGTGGGGGGAGGCATATCCTGGGCTGCTCTCCTAGGAGAGACTTCTCCAAGAGTGCTTATCCTCTCCTGTATGCTACTTTTCTTCTGCCTCACCCCTCCGCTCCTCACTGCAAAGTCTGACATCACTTTTCTACGGAGAGCAGAGTGAGAAGGAGAAGTCCCCATCAGAGAGCAGCCCTCTGGATGCCGACAACAAGGATGTGGTGAGTGTCAGTGGCCATGGTAGTGGGAGCCTGGGCCGGGCTCATCCTGGCCCAGCCTGTCCTGCTTTTTATCAGAAATCCAGGTCATAAGTTGAATGGGAGAAATTAAACCTTCCAGCCCAGGGTTTCCTGCTCAACACCCTTCCGCAGTGGGCAATTCCTAGGAAAGCTGGAGGGTTTCTTTGTCCTGGATTCTGTTGAGGCATTTGTCTGGAATGGCAGTTTGGAGGGGATGCTCCATCAGGGCAAGCATCTCCCAGCTGCACTGCTGTTCTTGCAGCTGCAGGAACCTAGTTAGATACATGGCCAGAGCCTTGCTGCATGCATGCAGGGACCTTTCTTGTCCGTCAGAGTCCCATGGACCACACCTTTGCCCCTGCCAACGTTGTGGGCTGTGGGGGCTTTAATCTTTTGTTTCTGTCTACCACACCAGGCACAAACCAGGTTTTGCTGGAAGCAAACACAGATGGACACGTTTTGCTGCCTGTTTTGTTTTCTTTTTTGGCAGTAAAAGCTCGAAAATCAGTCAGTGATGTGACTATGAAAAAAATGATATGACTTATTAAAAAAAATAGGCAGGAAAGGTAAAAAGCCAGAATCCTTGCAGGTGTCAGGAGACCTGTTTAAAGGCTCTGTACCAGATGCTCCAGGCAAATGTATATTGCTCATCAAAAAAAGACATGAGAAAGACCACAGGAAAAGCCAGCATGCTAAAGAGCAGATTAAGGGAGATTATTAGAAGCAAGAAGACATCATTTTAAAAGTCAAACTGTTCACAAATGAGGAAACTCTGCCAGGTTAGATGTAAAATACACTAACAGGAAAAGAGCAGTTTTGAGCAGAAATTTATAGATAGCATAAAAGCAAGTACAGAATCACAAAATCACAGAAAGGGTAAAGTTGAAAGGGACCACAGTGATTCATCTGGTCCAACCTCCCTGCTCAAGCAGGGTCATCCTAGAGCATGTGGCACAGAATTTCATCCAGACGGTTCTTGAATATCTCCAGTGAGGGAGGCTCCACAGCCTGTCTAGACAATCTGTTCCAGTTCACAGTCACCCGCACAGTAAAGAAGTTCTTCCTCATGTTTGGTGCATGAGGGGTTTCCTGTGCATGAGTTTCTGCTCATTGCCTCTTACCCTATTGCTTGGCATCACCAAGGAGAGCCTGGCTCCATCCTCTTGAGACTCTCCCTTCAGATACATATATACATCCATGAGGTCCCGTCTCAGTCATCTCTTCTCAAATTGAACAGGCTCAGCTCCCTCAGCCTTTCTTTGCATGAGAGATGCTCCAGTTCCTTAATCATCTTTGTACTACTCTGCCAGACTCCAGGAGCTCCATGTCTCTCTTGAGCCGAGGAGCCCAGAACTGGACACTATTTCAGGTGCAGCTTCACCAGGTGTGAGTAGAGAGGCAGGATCACCTCCCGTGACGTGCTGGCAATTGTTTTCCTAATGCATCCCAGGATACCACTGGTCTTCTTGGCCACAAGGGCACACTGCTGGCTCATGGACAGCTTGCTGTCCACCAGGACCCCCAGGTCCTTCTCTGCAGGGCTGCTTCTCAGCAAGTCACCCCTCAGCTTGTACAGGTGCATGGGGTTATTATTCCCCAGGTGCGGGCCTCTGCATTTGCCTTTGTTGAATTTCAGACAGTTCTTCTCTGCCCATCTCTTCAACCTGTTGAGGTCCTTCTGAAGGGCTGCATAGCACTCTGGGGTATCAGCAGTTCCTCCCAGCTTTGTGTCGCCAGTGAACCTGCTGAGAAGGCACTTTGTCCATTCATACAAGTTACTGATGAATAGGGTAAACAGTACTGAGCCCAGTATTCACCCTTGGGGGACACAACTAGTGCCTCCAACTAGACTCTGCACCACTGATTATGATCCTCTGGGATCTGCCATTCCGCCCATTCTGAATCCACCTCACTATCCACTCATTCAGTCTAAGCTTTCCTGAGTTTGCCTGTGAGGATATTGTGAGTGACGTGTCGAAAGACTTGCTGAAGATGAGGTAGACAATATCTACTGCTCTCCCCTCATCCATCCAGGTAGTTGTTTCCTCGTAGAAGGTTATCAGATTGGATGAGCATGATCTGCCTTTAGTGAATCCATGCTGACAATTCCTGATCACCTTCTTGTCTTCCATGTGGATAGAGATTGCCTCCAGAATGAGGTACTCTTGTCACCTTTTCACGAATTGAGGTGAGTATGACTGGCCACTAGTTCCCTGAGTCCTTCTTATTGCTCCTTTTGAGACCAGTGACATTTACTTGCTTGCAGTTCTCAGGCATCTCTCCTGATCACCACAACCCTTCAAAGTAATACTGGATTTTTCTTTGCACATCAGGAGCAGGAAATCTGCCAGAGGTTTTATAGGAGGACTGCAGAGGGACTCTGAACTTGCATGAACTCTGGTTTTATTACAACATAAAATAATGCATAGGAGGGAAACCCCCTAATTTTTCATACACAGTGACAGGGAATGAGCTATTACACATGAACTTTGGTTGTCCTATATCACTCTGCAGCAATGCTGGCTCAGCACTTGGTAGTGGTCAAAAAAGTGCATTACATGTTAGAGATTGTCAGGGAAGGGGCAGAGGAAGGAGCTACTGAAAGCCAAGAGGCTGTTACAGAGATGTTCCGCCCGAGGCAGCTGCCGTGGCCACTGGGCTGAGCATCTCCTAGACACTGCCCCCGTTTGCTCAGCCCCCTGGCCATAGGCACTGCACCACCTCTGTGTGTGTGTCCCCAGCAGATGTTGTGCCCCAGCTCCTCACTGGGGAGGTGGGGGTGGTTGCCCTTGTCTCATCCTGACTCTTTTCCCTTCTAGGGATTCTGCTCCTGGCTCATTTCTATCTACCAGATGAAGTAAGTGTGTGTCCTTGTTATTATGGCCATGCCCCACTGCTGACCACCCCTGGAGAGTTGGTGCCCACAAGTGGTGGCCCATCACCCAGAGCTGCTGGCACCAGTGGCAGGAGAGCCCTCTTAAAGCATCCACCCTGAAGAAAGAGCAGAGGGCTCACCTCTGCATTTTCTCCTAGCCCCTAGATCCTATCCCAAAGAAAAGGGCTTCAGCCTCTTCTGGTAGGAAGCAGTCCCATAATGGGATGGCAGTTGGAGGGCTGTTTGTGCCCCTCATTCCCTCTGTGCCCAAATCCTTTGTGCCACAGGCACGATGCCATGAGTTGGTGTAGATTGTGGGAGGCCGGAGCAGCCAGCATCCTCATGATGGGAGGTTGTGGGAGGAACCACCAGCACTCACCCTCACCCGCCTCTCCCTAGGGACGAGGAGATTCAGAGCAAGTGTGGGATCGATGCCACCACCTACCTCTCCTTCCAGCGACACCTCCTGGTCCTGCTGATGCTGGTCTGTGTGCTCTCTGTGGCTGTCATCCTACCTGTCAACTTCTCTGGAGACCTCATGGGTAGGTGCTTCACTAGTCATGGGATGGCTCAGGAGTGCTGTACAGGCTTCGCAGCCTTGGGGCAAGCACTGTGCCTCTGGGGCAGAGGGCGGAAGAACCTCTCTGTCAGGACCCCCCATGTGAGCAGGAACCCTGCATCAGCTGTGGGGCAGAGGAACATTCAGGGCGGTGGGGGCTTGGCAGATGCCCAGGACATAGGAAAGGAGTGAAGAAAGACTAGAGCCACTAACTGCAAACACAGATACACACACTGCACTGGGTTTCCTTAACTTTCTGCTTCTCCTCTTCCTCTGCAGGACACAATCCCACCCACTTTGGCCGGACAACCATCGCCAACATCCCAACACAGTAGGTGCTCCCATGTGCAGGGGGACTGTGGGTGCTACCACTGTGGTGGGCACTGCAGGGAGCACCCAGGCACAGCACTCGCCACAGCCCTATGCTGGGGACAGGGACAAGTCCACGTGAGCTGCACGCCGCTCACAGTAGCCCCCATGTCTCTCTGTGCAGTCACGGCAGCCAGCACACTGACACTGCTTGCTGCACCCCACTGGTGGCAGAAGTGCTCTTGGGGGTGCTGCATGGCCTCATTTCTGTAATATCTCAGCCAACACTCTGGGTGCTGCCCCTCTAGTCCCTGGGGTGGGGGGTCCAACAGCTGGCATGGGGAGGTCACACTGGGTGAAGGGGATGGCCATGGGCAAGATGCTGAGCACTAGGCTGGTCCCCATGCCATGTGCTCACCACAGCATTCACTGATCCCCTCTTCCCCTCTTCCAGGGACCGTCTCCTCTGGCTGCACAGCATCTTTGCCCTCATCTATTTCATCCTCACTGTCCTTTGCATGGCTCACCACTCCGTCCACCTGGAATACAGAGAGAATGAGAAGGTGAGCAACCACCCCTTCTCCAGCTCTGCCTTGGTCAGTGCTAATGGACAACAGTGCTTTGCAGAAATGCTCATCCCAGTAGGTAGAGAGGGCTTTAGAAATAGCCTGGGACTGGGCAGGCAGTGAAAGATATGGCTAGTTTTCACCGGTTTCTGGAGAAAGTCTTATGTCCTGGATGCAAATGTCTCTCTCTTGCTATCTTGCCTTTTGAGACTGAAGCTCTGCTGTATCATCTTTCTGGGATATGGCATCGTTTGGCTCCCACTCCCCAGGGTTTGGGAGTGGACATTAAGGAGATCTGTGCTGATTAGCCTCCTGAGTGGCAGTCGGTGCCCCAGCTCACTGATGGGTGAGTAGGGTGGCAGCAAGATGTCCTACAGATCCCCTGCCCACCCACCCCCTCTGCCCCTTCTCTTCCCCCAGGTTGCGCGGACACTGATGGTAACCCACATCCCCAGGGAGATCACAGACCCTTCCCTTATCATCAAGCATTTCCAGTGAGTAACAGTGTGCCACAGCCTTGCTGTGTGGGTGGCAGGCAGGTGGCAGGGGCTGTCTCCTGGCTCCTGGTGCCACCATGTCCCTGTGCCTGCAGTGAGGCTTATCCCAGCTGCACTGTCACCAATGTCCAGTTCTGCTTCGACGTGCGCAAGCTGATGAAGCTGGATGCGGAGAGGTGAGTGCACGCATGTCCACATAGCCTCTGTGGGTGGATGTACTGCTCCTGCCCACCATGTCAAGGGACCCAATCTGTGTGTGTTTGTATGTCTGCCCCTCCCCAAATGACCTTATCCCCTATTGGCTTTCCTGGCAGGCGCAAGGCAATGAAGGGGCGGCTTTACTTCACCACCAAGGCACAGAAAGAGGGGAAGATCATGATCAAAACCCATCCCTGCGCTCGCATCTTCTGCTGCCGCTTCTGTGGCTTTGAGCAGGTAGGAGGGTGCAGGCAGGGCTGCAGGCAGCACACCCCCCTGTGGGCAAGGCAGGGCATGGCCTGTGCCCCAGCCTGCCGAGCACGGCAGAGTCCTGGCTGGTGTGGATGCTGAGCAGTACTACGGGGAGCTAGAGGAGAAGCTCACGGATGAATTCAATGCTGAACGCAACCGCATCACACTCAAGCGGCTTGACATGGCCTTCGTCACCTTCCAGGATGAGCGGATGACAGCTGTGTGAGTGCCCTTCATGCAGCAGGCATGGGAATGTCCCCCAGTCTGGTGGCCACCACTTCTGGGGAATTGGGACACCTCGCCAGCTTTTGCGGCCAAAGCCAGGCGATGGGTCTGTCTCCTCTGTGTCTCTGCCATCTGCAGAGATGGCTGCCCTGTTGGGGTTGCGGGAAGGGTTTCACAAGAAGCGAGGGGATCCTGAGCCCTTGGTCTGGACCTGACTCCTGGCTCCCTCCTCCTGCAGGATTTTGAAGGACTACAGCCACATCCACTGCCGCAAGCACCCCCAGCAGTCCTCTGTCACCACTGTGGTCAAGTCACACCACTGGGGTGTTTGCTATGCACCTGCACCCAGCGATATCATCTGGTGAACACCCGTGACAGGAGGGAGGGAGGAAGGGGGGCAAGCAGACAGGGGGGAGCCCATGCCCATAGCTATAGGGAACCCATGTAGCTGTAGGGAACCTGTGTCTGTATCTGTAGGACACTTTCCCAGGATGGCAGGGGCTGACAATCCCTCCTGTTGCCATAGCAGAAGTTAGCAGGGGTGACCGGCATGATCTCCCCAAGGATGACAGGGCTCAGCCAGGTGAGGTTTGGTGTGATTGCCAGACTCCGATTTCTCCAGCCTGACTCCAAAGCCTGCCAGTGGTATGGACCTCCTCTGTGGCCATTCTCTAGTCCTGGGAACTCTGCAGGTGGCATCACAGCAGCATGGGGAGGGGAAGAGGATGAACTCAGAGAAATATCTGCCAGGATGGTTGGTGCAGGTAGTGGGAGGCAGAGCTTTGCGAAGCTATACTGGGAGGCCCAGGACACATGGATTTTCCTCCACATCTTGCCCAAGTTATGTTTTCCTCTCACAGGGAGAATTTATCAGTCCGTGGCACATCCTGGTGGGTACGATTCATCCTCCTTAATATCTGCCTGTTCGTCCTTCTCTTCTTCCTCACCACGCCAGCCATCATTGTCAACACTATGGACATGTTCAATGTCACACACCCTGTGGAGACTCTCAAGGTAGTTCTTGGGGCCCTATGCCAGTTTTCCCAAAGGGTCACCATTTCCAGGTTTCTCTGTGGTCATGCCTCTGCTTGCCCTTCATACCCTTCTAGTTGTGTTTCCAGTGGCAGAGCCCTGGGGCAGCTGTGCAAACCTGAGCTTTGGTGCTGGTGTCCATGGGGGAGGGCAGGTCGCTGTCCATGCAAGAGCAAGAGCTCCAAGAGACATCAGGAGCTGCCAGTAGCATGTCTCCTTGCTCATTGGCCTGTGAGCTTTTGGGTGGGCACTGGAGCTCGGAGCATGGCTGTGGTGCTTTTGGCTGGCCTCAGGCTCTTAATTCCTGAAACAAATGTTCCTGCTCAGGGAGGGAATACCCCAGCCCACCTGCTGCACACACCATCCTGTGCCAGGAGGCCCACAGAGCTATTTCCAGCATGACTGTGCTCTGGTGGGCTCCTGAGGGCATGTCTGGCATCTCTCCTTCTGCAGAACCCCATCATCACCCAGTTCTTCCCCACGCTGCTGCTCTGGGCCTTCTCCGTCTTCCTGCCCTTCCTTGTCTACTACTCGTCATTCTTCGAGTCGCATTGGACGAGGTAATGGGGCTGGCCCCACAGTCCCCCCGGGCTGCCATAGATGGGAGGAGCCTCAGTGGAAGGGGGACCCAACCTGCAGGGAGACAGGCAGTGGAGTAGCAGACCTCCAGAGAGTCCCATGGGTGTTGCTCTCCATGGAAAGAGCCCCAAGTCCATGCCCGAAGGAGCCATTTCCTTCCCATAACCCTGAATGCTTCCAGGCTGCTGATAAAGGCAGATGATTTTAAGATGGGTTGGAAGAAGTTTGTGAAAGGAATGGTGTGATGGTGGACTGGCAACAGCAGGGCATGGTCATGTGGCACATCCCAAACTTGCTCCCAGCACTCCAAGCTGAGTTATGGGTTCAGGATGCTCAGAGTCTCCTAGCAGAGGAAACTACCAAGCTCCTACAATGTGCTCTCTGTCTTGACCCTCCACTGGCCCCGACCCCTGTGCCTGGTCTGATGAGTCTTTGCAGGAGCTTTGTCACCACCTCTTTTCCTTCTACTTCTACTGGGGAAACAGGGGCTCCTGGACCTGTTCAAGACACTCATCTGCCTCTTGTTGGGTGTCTACACCAACAGGGATGGTAGGAGAGGGCAAGGATGAAGGTGAGAGGCTGGGAGGACAAGAGCTTTCACTACAACAGATTCCTCATGGTGACACCCCCTGGCCTGGGAGAGGCTTTGCAAGGCCTATAGATGCACATATCAAATGCATATGGCTTGCTGGGGCTGGGAGTAGCTCCTTAGTGAAGAGTGAGACAGCTCAGCCCCTTGCCCCACCAGCTGCTCTGCCTCAGAGAAGTGCAATGTTCTTCTCTTGCCTCCCCTCTCTGCAGGTCAAGTGAAAACCAGATTACCATGCACAAGTGCTTCTTCTTCCTGGTGTTCATGGTTATCATCCTGCCCTCGCTGGGCCTGAGCAGGTACAGACCACCCTGCCACACTGCTCTCCTGCTCCCCAGCTGCCAGGATCACACCCACACCTCCCATCCCTGCAAGCCAGACCCGAAGGGCTGAGGGCCCACTGCTACTGAAGCACAGCTGTCTCTGGGGAGGAAAACACTTGCTTTTTAGCAGTTCCAAGCTGCTCGCTGATGGGCATGGACAGGAAGCTTCCCTGCAGAGGGGTGTGGAGCAGCTTGCCAGGCTGTCACAGCTGACCCAAGGGTGCTGGCGATGGTCAGCTGCTGCTTGGGGTCAGCCCTTCAGCAGACCCTGAAAGGACCTGGTCAGGTATCTGCATAGCTCCAGCTACAGCAATCCTGGCCATCCAGGAGGCAAATGCCTACACCACAGTGGTCTCATGTGGCAGAAGGGACTGTTCTGGCAGTGTAGGATCTAGAGGGTCTTGCCCACTCAGGGTGGGGGGAAACTGCTCTGCAGCTCCCCCTCTTTCTGAGCTGCTCCTCTTCTCCCCACTCCAGCCTGGACCTGTTTTTCCGCTGGCTTTTCGATACCCACTTTCTGGATGAGGCCGAAATCAAGTTCCAGTGAGTAGCAGGGAGCTCCCAGTTTTCCCAGGCAAGCGGGAGCCCCTGTTGTCAGCCCTCAGCAGCTCTCCCGGCTGCCTGTCGGAGCATCCTCTCACACTCTGTGTCCCTGGGGCAGGTGCGTTTTCCTCCCAGACAACGGCGCTTTCTTCGTCAACTACGTGGTCACCTCCAGCCTGATTGGGACGGCCATGGAGCTGCTGCGCATCCCCGGCCTCCTCGTCTACACTGCTCGTCTCTGCTTTGCCAAGTCCGAGCCCGAGAGGCTCCATGTCAAGCGGGTATGTGGCTCTGGTCACCTCTGAGCCTGTGTGACCCCCCAGCACAGCAGGGGTGTGCTCACTGGAAACTCAGGCTGTCGTGGTCTTGTGGGGATGCTTGTGGGGACTTCTTCAGGCCCCTTGGGGGCTAATGGGGGCACGGCAGTCCTGTGGGCCAGTGTGCAGAGGCAAGTGCAGCCTTTGCAGTGCCAGTGACAGTAATGACACTGTTGGTTGTACCACAGAGCCAAGCCTACCAGTTCCAGTTTGGACTGGAGTATGCCTGGACCTGCTGCATCTTCTCTGTCGTCATGACCTACAGCATCACCTGCCCCATCATCGTCCCCTTTGGTGAGTATGATCCCATGCCCATGGTTCCAGCTGCCCCAAGAACAGCCAGTCCCAGCCACCACCAGCAGCACGGGAGTGCAGCCTTCCTGTGTGGCATAGGAGGGCACCCTTGGGCACCTGCTCTGCTGTGCCTGTGACCTTGCTGTTCCCATTGCCCTCCCCTCAAATGGCCCCTCTTGTCCTGCCAGGGTTGCTCTACATGCTGCTCAAGCACATGGTTGACCGGTACAACATTTACTATGTGTACATCCCCACCAAGCTGAACCAGCGCCTCCACGTCGCTGCCATCAGCCAGGTCGTGGTGGCCCCCATCCTCTGCATGTTCTGGCTGCTCTTCTTCTCCATCCTGCGCCTCGGTAGGGAGAGCTTGGGACTGTGTGCTGCCACTGCTGAGGGTCACCTCTGATGCTTGTGGGTGATGAGCCACTGGTCACCCTTGAGTTAGGTGTGGCGTGGAGGGTGGGAAGGGGGAAGGTGTGATGGAGACCTGGCAAATGAGGCAGTTGACAGCTACTGTTTTGGGAAGGGGTTGAGAACTGGTAAGACCCAAAGCAGGCGCCAGCCTGGGGCTCAGCGGGACATGCAGCAGGTTCTTGGAAGCTCATGTGCTGCCCCAGTGTCTCTGTGTTCTAGGTCCCACCCGGCCTGTCACCCTCTTCACCTTTGTGGTCCTCCTCTCCTGCATTATCTTCTCCTTCTTTGGCCTCTGCCTGAAGAAGCTGCAGCCGCGGAGACCCTCCAGCTACCAGGTGAGCACAAGCAGCTGTCCACTCTGTTCCTTCACCCCACTGCATCCCCTCCTCACTTCTCTGTGGTGCTCTTGCTGTGAGGAGTCTGAGGCAGCACCTGGCTGCTCTCAGCCTAAGCTGGGACCCCCAAACCATCGTTTCCTCCCGGCCTTCCTCTCCGCAGATGTCTGACCAGTCTGAAGGCTCCTTCAATGACGTGGAGCGGAGCAGCGTTTCCTCCACCCCCAACTCCAATGTGAGTACCCCTCCCCAGCCCTGCTGTGGCCACCTGCCCTTGCTCCCCTGGGTCCTGACCACCTACTGCCCACCGCGGCAGCTCTTTGTGGCCACAGTCCTACAGGAGCCTGAGCTGAGCCTGACGCCGGCGGCATCCCCTGCACATCAGTCCTATGGCACCATGGGCAACCACCTGGAGCCAGCAGAGGACGGGGAGGATGGGGGGCTGCAGAGCTTTGAGACAGAGCTGGAGACAGTGGAGGGCGAGTACAGGAGTGGCCCCGTGATGGAGAGCCAAGCTCGCTACCAGTGAGCATCCCTGCTGCGGGTGAAGACCAGCCATGCTGAGAGCAGAGGACATGCCGTGGGGCAGGAAGGAGCCTTCCCAGCACTGGTGGGGGCACCTCGCTGCCAGGACAGGGGATGACACGACTGACATGAGGGGAAGACCCCATTGCATGGGAAGTGGCAGGAGGTTCTGCCGGTCCTTCCCACTGCCTGGACTGGCTGAGCCCCTTAGTGTCCCCCTGTCCTCCCCTGCCTCTTCCAGGCCGTAGTGGGGAAGAGGGAGTGGCAGCAGTATGGGGAGAGGGTCTCTCTGAGAGGTCATGCTTTTGGGGGCAAGAGGGAGGCCCTGGCCCCTCTGTGAGGAGAAGGTAGCCCAGACAGCACAGATGAATGTGCCTGCCACCACACTGTCCTGCAGGTCCTCAGTGGCAGGGGATGGCCACCCCTAACCCTTGCATCCCACCTCACCCACCCACTGCTTGGGCAGCTGTCCCACTGCCTTCCCTGCTGCTGGCCAGGCAGGCTGCTGCCTGCCCTCGCTTTGCCCATTAAAGCAGGGACTGCTGGCATGCATGTGCTTTGGTGGAGGAGGTGAGTGCCCAGGGAAGCTCCTATATCTGCCTGAGCCCCAGCAGACCTGCCCCAAGGCAGGCAACAAATGCAAGCCCAGCTCTTCCTCAACCTCCCATTCCTCCATCCCACTCCACTGTGCCTGTGCCCTTGGGCTCGTGGGGAGAAGTGGGATGTCAAGGGACAAGTGTGTTTAATGGCTGCAAGGGCAGTTCCGTGTTACTCCTCTCCCCCAGCAGCATCCCCTTCGTGCTCATGCTGTCCCTGGGGCTGGATATGGGACCCAGCATGGCTCTGTCCTGTTGCAACAGAAAGGGGCAGTGGCAGCTGGCAGGACCTCGACCTTCAGGTCTTCCTGGTCCAGCACATCCTGCCTGCCCTCACCCACATGCTGCAGCCGTGGGATGCTCCCCCAGCAGCCACACTGCATCTCCAGTGTGAGTCCTGCTGTGGCCATTGTAAATGCGCCAATTCCTGCCCAGGCATCCCTGGAGTTTTCCAGCTCATCCAGAGCAGCTGTGGTGGCTCCTGGAGATGAGGGCTTATCCTTGCCCTGCTCAGCCCCTCTCCCACCATAGCCCACATGGACGTGCTGGCTCCTTGCTCAGCCCTGCTTTGGCCTCAGGACTGATTTTCCTTGTCCCTGATTCTCCTGCTAGCTTCAGAGCAACCAGAGTTGCCACCATCCCGGGGCGGGTGCAGGGAGGGAAGTGAGGGCGATGCAGCTCTGCTGGCACCAGGGCTGCCAGCACGGGGAGTGCTGCTGTGTGAAGGCAGATGCTCAGCCATGGCACTGCTCAGTATTAGTGGTGCCACAGTGGCAGGGGGGCATGGTGTGCCAGCTCTGGGCAGGGCAGGGGGAGGAGGTTAAAAGGCAGCTCAGCAGCGAGCTGTGGGTCTCTGCTGGACTCGAGGGGGCTGTGGGACATTCCGGTGGGGCTGGTGGGGCTCAGCTCGGCCAGCTGGCAGCCCCATGGACCCCATCCCACCCACACTTTTTTTTTTGGCTGGGGCACAGTAGCCACCAAGGAGTTGCCTCGAGGTAGCCTTGAGCTCAGCTGCTCCCTCCCAACCCCAAAAGCACCCCAGGGTGTTTGTGGTTCCAGCCCAGGTGCCCCCGTGGCTACCCACAGCTCAGTCACTGCCCTCACTGCCTGCCCCATGGGCAGCCCCAGACGGAGTGGGAGGATGCTGGTGGCCTCTCTGAGGGTGGAAGCAAGTGCCTGTGAGTGGCACTGTGTCCTTGGGAACTTGGGCTGCTGGTCTGATTGCCCTTGGCTGCCCCACTGTAGGAATGTGCCAGAGGTCTGTACCTTCTTGTGATTTATTGCTATGACCGTGCCTTGAATAAAACGACTTCACCCAGCTGCTGCCTGGTGTCATCACCCCTACGCACCTTTCCTGGCACCAGGAGAGGGGGAACCCTCACTGCTGGAGCCTGCAAAAGTACCCCGTCCCCTTTTCCCACCTGTGGGGCTGCTTCTGACCCTGCCTGAGGATGTCCTGGAAAGGCTTCAGTGCCAAGGAGACTGCTTGGACACCTCCTCACCTCCAGACACCTTGCTGCCCACCATGGTCCCCACAAAAACAAACCCCAGCAAGTAGGCAGAAACAGCCAAGCCACAGGGGCAGGAGACCACCTAGTTGTGTCCTATTAGGTAGGCTGCCACAGCCCCTGGCACCATCCCTACATTGGGGATGGGCTGCAGCCCCAGGACAGGCATGTGCCTTTCCTGCCCATCTCTGTCAGCACATGCTCCATTGACAGGACTGTCTCAGAACACCACCAAGGGTGCAGACACTGGAGGGGAGGAGGAGGGTGACCTGGAGCCCCCCGGGGACCACAGCAAGGAGCAGGGGCAGTGGGGCTCATCCCATCTGGGGATGGAGCAGATGCTCCCAACCTGAACTGCATACCAGCAAGTACCAAGGAAGGGGGTGAGCATCATTTTGGGAGCTTTCCTCTAGATTTTGAGCAGACAGTACTCTTTTGCTCCCCTCCTCCCTCCCAAAACACACTCTTTATACCTGAATTCCTACTTGAATTATTTGCCTCTGGTTTCAGCAGGTCCCTCCTGCTGGCTCTTCCACAGCTGCCCCAGGCTGAGTCCTGCCTGGCCTCTCTGGCTTATAGCACAGGACAGGGGACATGGGGAGGGCTTCCCTTTGGGTGAAAAACTGGAAAATTTAAAACCCCAATCCCCCATCACACACCCCCACACAGGCCCCCCACATTTTGTAAGGAGTGGTAAACAGATAAAATGCAGGGCCTTACTGCTCCAGGGAGCTGGAGTAGGAGCTCTGGCTGTGAGCAAGGGCTGTAATTGCCCCTGGCTCGTGGCTTTCCCAGCCCTCCCGCTGAGAAGGTTCATCACAGCCTAAGGAGGTGGTGTCAGCCCCACCAGGCTGCACCTCTGCCATGCCAACCCTCAGAAACCTGCTGGCCTGATTGCAGCCTGCAAACACAGAAGTCTCTCACAGCCAGGGCCGAGCAATTGTATGGAGTCTCCTACTATGCCAGACAGTGCTGAGCAGTGCCAGGAGCATCCCCACTGGGCAGCAGCAAAGCAAAGGAGCAGAGTGTGGGAGCCATGGCAAACCTCTATGCTGGCACAGGCAGTCAAAGTTGGGGTGCTGCTGCTCCAGCCCTTCCCGACAGTGCCAGGGTTGGGCTCCCACCACCAGCCCTGAGGCTGGCAGCTCTGCTCCAGGCCAGGAAGAGAAGGAAAACGAATTTTAACAAGGACCCAAAAGTGGGATTTCTTTGCATTCAGATCTCTGCACTCCTTGCCCTTCACAGCCCATCACACATTGCCCTGTGGAACAAGCCCCATCCTAAACGTTGCCTGAGGCAGAGCAGCATGGCTTTCCCAAGATGCTCACCATGCTTTCCTGCCAGGGCTGGGATTTCCAGCCCTGAGGAGATGCTATTATAGACCCTGAGCAGGCTTCCTGCTCTAGGCACCACTCTTCATTGCCAAGTGCCCAGCTCTTCGAGGGCTGGAAACCCACCATGTCAAAGCTGGAACATGCCCCAGGGAAGAGGAGACAGGACCTCCTGCATCCTCATCAGCTGCTCCCTGGGCAGGTGGATGCTGCATGGAGCTGGGCAGGACTTCACTGAGAGACTGCTGCTGCAGGCAATCAGCAGCGGGTGACCAGTAGCAGGTGAGCTAAAGCTATGTCAAAAAAGCAGCAGCTGAACAACAGAAAAGGGATTTTTTTTTGGCTGATTGCTTAAAATTCTAATTCCATTAGAGGTTCTTATATTTGAAGGGTAATGAGCAGCCAGTAGCAAGATGTCTCCGCTAGCCCCTCTGCTGCCCACTCATTCAGTTACCACACACAAAAGCTCCCAACAGGCATTTGCTGCTGGATGCCTTCTCATGCTGGCTGAGCTGCACTACACAAGTGCTCCCAGGGACCAGTATCTTCAAAACTAGAGTCAACAAGAAACTAGTAAACCCCACTCTGTCTTCCTTCTTTTCTCGCCTGCTTGGGCCTTCTATATTAAAATAAACGTAAGGCATCAAAAAGGCCTAAGACTCTGTTGTTCTTTATTAAACAGTACAGCTGGGTATAAGAGCCACACAGACTAGTTCAGTTCCCTTAGGAGTTACACAAAATGTGGCACAGAAGAGGTGAAGTCAAAGAGCTGGGAAAGCTAAAGGGAGTGGGGATGGTTTGGGGCAGTAACACCCACATCCCACCCATCACACGGCTGCCTACTTGTCACACAGAGCCTGAAGGTGTCCCACTCCCCTGGTGCTGAAGGCTGACGCCACAGAATAGGGTTGCAAAGAGGACATACCCATCCCCAAACCCTCCTGCCCCATATCATGCCATCACAGCTGTGCCTCTCCCCAGCCCTGGTTCTCCCATCCCTCACTGTCAGGTACAAGAATGGGGAGGACTTTACCTGACTCAGCTGATCGAGAGAGCCATGGGTGGGATGCACACCACCATGCTGTAGGACTGCAGAGGCAGAACATGGTACCACGGGGAGGACAGGACACATGGGGATATTCACTGCCTGATCCACAACACCCCTCAGCTCATCTCCCACAGCTGGAGGGCTCTTTGCCTGCTGGAAGCCTGTGGCTACCACCAGACCTGGTGGCAGGTAACCAGAGCCCCATTTCACAGGGCACCCCATCATCCTCTCCATAGCATGAGCCTGGGAGACCTCAGCTACATGGAGCAGGCAGTCTTCTCCTGTCCCAGAGTGTAGGATGTCCAAGTATAGGAGGAATGTGTCTCCGGAACAGAACCATCTCAACCCTCAACACAGGCTACTCCTGCCCTGAAGGAGCAGCAAAAACAGGTCCTGCCTGTAACTGAGTAATTGCTCCATGTCCTTGCTCTGGGGCCAGTGATGGCCAGAACCATGATTCTGCCTGTTCCACAAGGACTTCCCCATAAAGAAGAACTCTTCCTCAAACTTCTCAAGTTCAG